AGAGAGAGAGAGAGAGAGAGAGAGAGAGAGAGAGAGAGAGAGAGAGAAACTGAGAGAGAAACTGAGAGAGAAACTGAGAGAGAAACTGAGAGAGAAACAGAAAGCGTGAGATAAAAAGAAAGCGAGTGAGGGTCAGGTTGATAGAAGAAGTGAAAATAAAAGTTGATTTGTTTTCTCTTGTACACAAAAGACGTGAGTTTGATTCAGTGTGGTGCCTTGAGGAAGTTTTATTTCAGGAGTATCTCCTTCCTGGTAAAATTCTGTAATGACTTAAGACCAGTTGCTCTTACATCCATTGCTTTCAAGTGCCTTGAAAAATTGATCCTCTCTAATATTCTAGGCCGTGTTCATGGAAATCTAGATCCATTCCAGTTTGCATACAAACAAGAGAGGAACGTAGAAGATGCTGTACTTGTTTTTTGTGACTCTATACTGAAACACCTTGAAACATCTAAAACGTATACGAGGGTACTTTTTGTAGATTTTTCCTTAGCATTTAATACAATTCAACCGCATATTGTCATTGAAAAACTTCCGAGTCTGAGAGTTAGTCATCATATCGCAGCATGGGTCCTGGAATTTTTGACAGGTAGACCACAATATGTGAAGCTAAACAACACAATATCTGACACAATTCTTTGTAATACCGGCGGTCCTCAGGGGTGTGTTTTGTCACCAGTTTTGTATACTATATATACCAACGATCATAGAAGTATATATAAAACAACACGCTTAATTAAGTTTGCAGATGACTCGGCTATTATTGGATTAATAAACCATGATGAAAAAGAGTATTTCGAAGAAATATGTAGGTTTTTTAAATGGTGCAACTCAAATTTTCTAAAAGTGAACCTCTCAAAAACAAAGGAAATGATTTTTGATTTTAGAAGAGAAAAACCAACAATCCCACCACTCGTAATTGAACAAGAAAATATTGAAATCACGGATTCATACAAATATCTTGGCCTTACAATAGACAACAAATTTACATGGCAAAACCACGTAAACAATATCGTTAAAAAAGTAAATCAGAGGCTGTACTTTCTGAGGAAACTAAAGTCTTTCAATCTGAATCCATCCATCCTTCAGATTTTCTACACCACCACAATAGAAACTTTGATAAATTTTGGAATCACTTGCTATGGTAGCAATCTGGGAAGGCAGCACATTATAAAACTAAATAAGTTGATAAAAAAAGGCATCAAGAACAATTGGTAGAGACCTAAGTAACTGTGAATATCTGCACAAGACAAACGTTCTAAAAAAAGGCGGAAACAATGCGTAGTGACCATAGCCACCCACTGACATCGGAATTTCAACTATCGACCCGCAGTAAACGATACATATCCAAAAAAGCAAGAACAGACAGATATAGAAATTCATTCGTACCAACTGCAGTGAGGTTACTGAACACACAGTGCTACAAATGAAACAGAGAGAGAGAGAGAGAGAGAGAGAGAGAGAGAGAGAGAGAGAGAGAGAGAATGAATGTGTTACGGAGCGGGTTGTCCCAGCCCGTGAGACATGTATTTACTTGGCATAATGTCCTGTCTTATTGTGCGTTTGCGTGAGTGCACCTTTAAGTCTAACTTTTGTAACGTCTACTGCCATTGTTAACGACCAAGACAAATTTCTCCCTGCGAGATGAATAAAGATTGTCATTGTCATGTCATTGTCATTGTCATACCTCAGTCGTATGGGTTGGTCCAGACTGGCATGACTGAAGCAGCCAGTCCGCCCAAACGTTTTAAACCATGTCAGTAGAAGTGTAAAAAAAATATGAACATTCAAATCATGAAACCAAGAGTCAAGATAAAAATGTACGTGAGAGATAGGCATGCATGAGAGCGCGTCTGATCTCAGTCTTGTTGAGTCATGGTTTTCACGGTTGGCGGCGTGCTGTTGTTATACAGCCACCACGTAAGCCTATACTGACATGAGGACAGAAGGAGAAAACAGAAATAGATTCCAACCACCTTTGGTCCATAACACTGCAAGCATGTACTGCGTGTTACAGGAACCTTATCATTTTTACAATCCTGTTCCTCTTGATTGTTAGTTTGAAAGAAACAAAAGAAGCACATTTACACAAGAACGGTTATTTCGGGAAAAGAAATCGGTACACAGAATCAACAGAGGGAAAGTGAAGAAGTAAAGCCTGCCTTCACGTTTCTTCTCAATATTTCACGTACTGGTCTCAAGCATACGCCAGAATTGTTGTGCTCCTGAGACCATGTATGCCATGGAGCGCTGAAGGTATTTTCAACAGGGCAAGACCTCCGATAAGCAGAGCTATAATAGTTTCTTCGAAAAAAAAGGAGGAGTGGAGGGGGGGGTAACTTAAGTCTTTCACTTGGCACAAAACTGACCTCACCAAGCCAAGTAAAACCACACACAAAACAAACTCCTTGCTCTTTTTTCACTCACTAAGAAAAGAATTAGTTTTATTAAATTATAATTATCAAATCAGAGAGTAGCCCCAATTTTACATCCATAAAAATATGCACTTGGCCCGCTTAGGCGACCCTAGGGCGTTAGGTTTGCAGCAAACACTTAAAACAATTCGCCTTAGCACGACCACTTTAGTTGAGCGATCCTAGAACCACTTCATGACACGGCATACTCTCAGAGTCATATTATTTTCTTTCTTTTTCTCCATGTCGAGCACCGGAAAACGGACGAGACGAGACGAAACGAAACCACGGGCACAAAAAAATGTGCTCTCGTCACTGGGAAGGAAGACTGCATTAATTAGCCCACTCATTAGCAGGGTGATCACAGGCCTGTTTGGGGGAGGGGGGTTAGTAAGTGGAGAAGGCTAACCCCTTGATCACAGGGTTGTTGGAGTTTACAATATATGCACGATAGTTATAAGTAGTATTTTAATATCTCTGGAATGGGTTTTTTTCTTCAAGAACAGACATCGGCATTCATTTCTCTGTCCAGGTACTCTTTTTAAAAAATCTATGCTATCTAGTCTTGTCCTATTGATCAACAAATCAATAAATACAATTAGGTCCCTTTTTACACAATGATTTGCATAAAGACATTCCCAATCATAATAATTTGTCTTTGTCTGGTGCAAGTTTCTCGAGTTTATCTTTATATCTTCATATCGCTCTCGCTTGTTTTTTTTGGATCTTCTTCTACCTATTTTGACACCTGAAGTCCTTTTCCAGATTTACTTATATATTCGTCTCTCTCTTTTGCCACCTGAAGTCCAACGAAGGGGAATTTTCGCAATAAACGACGGTAGCATGAGTAAACGCCCAAGCCACCTCCTCAATGGCCTTACGCGTACAAGCCAGGTCGCCACTTCCGTCCTCCGATCAAAAATGAGAAATTGTATAGGCTTAACGCCCCTGTATACGGTCATGGAACCCTTTCAGTGCTGATGATTTTCCATTTATGTCTGTACAGAAAATAGATAAAACAGATCATTCCAGATACATTTTTTATAAAAGGCCAAGATGCATTTTCCCTCATTACGAATGAGCAACTGTACAATTTGCAAACGCATCTTCTAAACTATCCTCAATATACTGGTGGCAAAAAAAACGGCAGTAAACCAATTTGAGAGAGTGCAAGTGAGTATACGTCTACATAGCAGTAAACAGGGACCTCCGATTTCAACGTCCATCTCGGAAAACATCGAGCCAAAAAGGGAAAATGCGTATGCTTTCTCAAGGACACGACTTCGGACTGATCTGAATCTCGAACCACCAAAACAGCAATTTCACGATCATGATCCAGTAGTTTAAGGACTATCGACGCCACTGCTTCCGATTCAGGATAATAGTATAACCAAAACAGTAAAGAGAGCCGACCATGCTGGAACGACCACTGACCTAAAGAATTGAAAAATGTACTGGTGCTGTAGCAATTTTCTGTACCACTTACACGTAGGCAGAGTCGCTGACTGACAAAGACTTACCGACGACATCAGATAATTGCTTGTGATGATAGTGTGTATCCTTACGCGAACGAGAAGCGAATGTTTGGCGAGACTGAGTGACAACGTGTTTCCTATGACCAACAAGTACCATATTACATAAGCTCGACATGTGCTTTGTATTTTCAATTTTTCACAGAGAACGACTCGTTCTTGAGCCCTTAAAGCGATGAGTACGGGTTTTTAACCTTTCTTTAAATGTATGCATCCTTTAAATCATTATCAACAAAATATGCGTATTATGTTGCAGAGAACCCCCACTCCCAGTTCCATTCAAAGCTGCAACAAAGAGCAACTCTGAGGGGGATGAGAAAAACTAAATGTGAAGCGAAAATGCCTGAACAGCTTCATATTATTATACTGTCAATGAAAATACGTATTACAAACAAATCGAGTTCTCAGCTTCCTATGGAACATATTTCGGAGTGAAATTTATGACTCAGGGTGAAGAAAGATTTAACTCAATACTTCTAAGTGATTCAGTAGGCGGAACTTCGGAATGTAATACTTCTTTGTCTTTACCGCAGGACCGAACCAAGGGGGTGGGGACTATATTCAAACAATCAAAGTACAATAATACCTCATTGCAATTCGACCCAAAGGCACCCAGGAAATATTTCTTTAGAATTAAATCATAAACGTGGGTGTTTTCACGATCCCATCAGCACAATTTAGATAATTTAGAAGGCAGGCTTCGACCCTGCCTGCCAGGGCCATCCCGGGTTGAGAGGCATACAATGTTCCAGCAGAAAGACCGAAACACTCGTTGAAAATTCTCCCTGCTGAGCAACCATAGTAAGATCTTCTGCTCTTCTGCATGCGACAGCGAAGTACCTAACCCTTACACTACAGACGCCACTGTCATCTACATCGTAGCCTAGCATTGTATTATTATAATATAATAAATGTGTAGTGTGTGTGTGTGTGTGTGTGTGTGTGTGT